TAGTCCCGGTGTCTATGAGTACCTCATCAACGGTAAACAGGCTGAGCGCACTGATAGCTAAATTCAGATGTTGACACTTTGCCTAGTCACAATCGGTACACCTCCTCAAAATATCACACTTATCATCGACACCGGTTCGTCCGATCTCTGGGTCAACACCAACGCGAGCTGTTCAGCCTTCGACGACAGCGCCGATGCTGCTCTCTGCAATCAACTCGGTGTTTACGATCCGACGAACTCGTCCACCTTTGTGAATTACACCGCTACGGATGAGTCGTTCATCCTCAATGTTACGTATTTGACTGGTTACGTTCTCGGGAGTCAAGGAAGCGAGACGGTTGGCTTGGGATCACCGGAGGTGCGAATCAGTAATATGACGTTTGGGCTTGCGGAAGAAAGTCCGGTTGGGGTTGGGATTATGGGTATCGGGTTCGAACTCAATGAAGCCGAGGAGATCATGTTTCCGACGATCGTTGACCAGCTATACAACCAGGGATTCATTGACTCTCACCTCTTCGGGCTCTACTTGGACGACGTCGATGCTGCGACCGGTAATATCGTGTTTGGAGGGTATGACGAAGACAAAATCGTCAATGATTCACTGATTTTCTTGCCTATTGTTCCTATCCAGCTCCCTGGGAATACTACGGGCTTTTATTTGGAGTATCTGGTGGAGCTCGACGGGATCAATATCACGACTGGGACCGGAAATTCTACAGCGTTCCAGAATACGACAGCTTTCGCCGTACTTGACAGTGGTACCACAGCGCTGGAACTTCCCAACGATGCATTGAGTTATCTCGTGAATGTAACCTCAGCTACATTCGACGAAACATTTGGCGCTTACCTCGTCGATTGCGACGCGTATCCTGCCGACACGTCCGAGTACATCTCCTTCACCTTTCACGACCAAAGGAATGGGACTACAAAGAGTCTCAACGTATCATTCTACGAACTCGTCGTCCCACTCGACCAGTCAACCTGCGCTTTGGCGGTCGAACCTGCGGAAACCGACAACTTCCTCATCCTTGGTGGGCCGTTCTTGAGGTCGACGTATGTTATCTTTGATTTGGATGAGGAGATGATTGTCATGGGACAAACACTTTTCAATACCACTGCTTCGAACATCGCGGAGGTGCCGGCGAATTCCACGGAGGGACCTTTCAATGTGAGTAGTATTGCGCCGACGATCACGTTCAGTTATACTGGATTACCTACCACGACCAACATTGGTATTGGCAATGACGGCACTGCAACTTCGACTTAGGCTTGATCCTATGACGAAAGATTCCTGTGCGTGGCTCGCCGATGGCGTATTGTGGGATTGAAACACGGAGGAGGTGGAAGGACGCGAGATACTTCAGGCGGGAGGATTAAGGAAAAAAACGCTGGTAGCTGCAAGAGTCATCACTGCTCTTCCAGTTGCGATCAAGCAATTCGTCGTACAAAAGCGATATTCAATGTGCCCGTGGCGCCCGTGAGAATTTCCAGTTTAGGCCACAGTAGAGATATCCACCACCTCAGAGATACGCCTGCGCAAGGCTCATTGAGCTCTTCAAGTACATCGGACAGCCCACATACAATCGAATCGACTCTTCATCTAGGGCAATTACCCGTACAACCAATCACCTCGCTCACCAGCTGCGGGTCTGCGCATGGCCATGCATGACCTCACAGCACCGTACAACACGTCGAACTCCGCCCCTTCTCCCAACTCCTCGAGTGGATCTTCCATGCTTTCCCGCTCCCTCTTCCGTCAACTGCGACCAACCCAGATCACCAACTTATCACGTACAATGTTCTCAGCCGCAAGATCTGCAGGACCCCTCGAGACCGTCCTCCGAGAAAAAGTACGTCTCACCTCCCCCCAACCTCTGTGAATCCTGCGTGCTCACTAGCCTCCGCACAGATCACAGCCGAATTTCAACCCCTCTACCTCTCCATCACCAACGACTCCCACAAACACGCCCACCACATCGCAATGAAAGACCCTTCCTACGCCAACCAACCCGAAACGCACTTCCGCGTAACCATCGCCTCCGAGAAATTCGAGGGAAAGATGTTGCCTGCAAGACATCGGATGGTGTATGCGCTGTTTAAGGAGGAGATGGCGAGGGCCGGGGGCATTCATGCGTTGCAGTTGCAAACTTGGAATAAGAAGGATTTGGAGAGGAGGAGGGAGGCTGGGGAGGTTGAGGAGTGATTTCGTGAAGGAGGGTAAAATGATATTGGAAGCCGGAGGAAAGATTACCTGAGGTGAAGCACGACATAGGTATGAATGCAGCAGACTGAAAGACGGGTACGAGACGGGGATAACTCAGTTATTAACAATCATCTCGCGTTGTGCAGACGAGGAAGATCAAGGTGCGATAGAATACAAATATCACCATATAAATTTGATTATCCGTTCGATTGCAATGAACTTATCGACAGTACACACGGTTGGAATCAATTGTCTCGCACAAACATAACGGGCAAAACTGGCTCAGATATTGGGTATCAAAACAGAACAGACTAACATAACTTTAAAAGTCCAAAGAAGGTAATCAGCCTTCTAAACCTTGAGAAAAAAGAAATCTACATTGTATACTGTACACCCCTTCACCCATCCCTCCTTCTTCACTTCCCTTCCTTTCACTTCGAGCCTCAACTTTGACTTCGTCTTCGGCTTAAGCAAAGACAGAAGCCAAAACACCAACGGCTCCAATAACGACAGCACCAGCAACCTGAACCCTCTGCGCACCAGAAGTGCTAGACTGACTCGCGACAGTCCCATTCGCACCACTTCCACTCGTCCCATTCAAACTATAATTCCCCCATACACTCTTGATAGACGGCAACACACCACGGCCACCAGCTCCCATGGTGGTCATGTTGGGTTTCGGGATAGGAGCCCACTTCGTTGCCGACAAAGCCCCAGGCCCGGATTGGTTGTTGAGCATCGAGCTCTCGTCCACAGCGATATTCGAATAATTCGTCTTACTCGCCACGATATCAAAGACATTCGCCATCGAAGCATTGACGTCCCCACGACCGAGGTGGTAAAGGGACCAGTTGTTCTCGATGGTGGCGAGGGAGGAGTAGTGAGTGTAGACCGTATCATCCGTCGTTCCGTGTAGAGACTCTGGGACAGCTGATCCGAGGAGGAGTGTAAATACGCGATTTTGGTCCGCGTAGGTTTCGGACTCGTCAAAGGTTAGGACGATGAGTGTACGCGGGGCGTTGAAGCGTGTGTCGTTGAGCAGCGGGGTTAGGAATGTTTTTGTCCAGTTTGCGGCGTAGTTGATGGTTGTGTCATGTCCGTCATTCTTCATATTAGGCGTGATGAAACTCCACTGTGGCATCGTAGAAGCACTCAAGTCGGTATACAAAGAAGTGAGGTTCTTAATCTGCAACAACCGGGAGGCGTTGTTGGCGACAGAGTCGTAGTTGACAAGCGGGTTGTGCTTCCTGACATAATCCACATACCCCCCATCCGCGGGGTTAGCGTAGTTGTAGCTTGTGTATCCGGCGTAGGGCATATCCTCCTGATACTCACCCCAGGAAATTCCGCGTTCCTCCAAGATATCGACGACGGTCGACACATTAGCAGGAACATGGTGCAAGTTATCATCACCGATACCAAAGTAGTCTCCACCGGCGGCAGAGACGTAGTTTGGCAACGAGGGGTGCGTAATGGCAAAGTAGTTCGTCAACAGGATACCCTGCTGAACCAAGGTCTGTAAATCACTCGTACCGTTCGCACGTGCGAAATCGGTGTTTTCGAGCCAGATTTGGATGAAGCGGTCGAAGACTGCTCCCGTTACGTTAGAAGCGGGTGAGGAGACGGAGGCGGAGGCTGCGGCGGAGGTGATGGAGGTTGTGGCGGTCGCGATTGAGATGGAGGCGGAGTGTTGGAAGGCGGAGAGGGAGGAGAAGGAGGAAGAGGTGGATTGGGCAGCGGCCAAAGACACGGCGCCGGTGATGAGGGCAAGGGATGGGATGGAGAGGAGCATGCTGTGTTTTCCTAAGAGGGTGGTGGTGAGTGGGTCCTGGGGGGAAGAGGTGGGGGAGGAGATGAGGCGGACTTTATAGAGAGATGAGATGAGACGTGGGCGGATCGAACGGATCACTCTCGCAGGGATTCTAATTGCCGCAAAATCCACGGCGGCCACGATCAATTCACGTTGCCTTCCACGTCGTAAGTCCCTCCTCTTGCCCTCCTCGCAGAGCAGCCCACGTGCACGACAAGAAGCCAAGCTGGAGCCAAGAGCCGAACAGGGGGCAATCCTTGGTGATCACTGCACGGGAGCAATAAGCGACAACTTGCTCATGAATTCTCGCCCAATCATTTCTTGAATAAGTGAGCGTTTTTGGTGACGGGGGACGTGGAATTAAGGTTTACAGTAGCGTTGGCGGCGTCGGCGGCAAATGCCTCAGTTGATCCGCGACGACGAAGATGGGACTCGCAAGATGTGTACGTCCTCGGCTAATAGTGAAAAAATACAAGATGGGAGATGATAGGAGGCGACGGGGCATGGCATAAATCACTCAATTGAACACTTCTATCAGTTAAGGAAGCTTTTGCCGACTCTATACCAAACCTTAACGTACACCGGCCAACAAGGCAGCAGTTGAGTGCGAGAGGAGGCCAATCGCAATGGCATACGGACCCATGCAACAACCAGTCAAAGAAGTCCCTTCACGGGATGTCTCCTCCAGCAGATCACTCGACGACGGAACCAGCATGCTAGACAATTGGCTATCGCAGAAAAAGATGATCGCGCTCGCGGGTTTAATCATATTCATCGTCCTCGGAGTCTCCCTCGGTGTCGGGCTCGGCGTGGGTCTTCCAGAGCACGCCTCCCATACATCCACCGTCACTACCTCCTCGGCATCAAGTTCGAGCGATGTGAGTGGCAGTGGCCTACAATCCTGGCAACGCGACACAGCAACCGAGTACACCCTCGACTTCACCTCCTGGAACACCACCTCCACCCCCCAAATCCGCACATACAACCTAACCCTCACCATGCTTTCCCCCTCCAACTCCTCTTCTGACTCCCAACCCGCTCCAGACGGTGGCCCAGCGCGTCCGATGCTCCTCATCAACGGCGAATATCCCGGCCCACTAATCCGCGCAAACCTGAACGACACACTACAGATCACGGTTAATAATCAGATCGCGGACTGGCCAATAAGCATGCACTGGCATGGCCAATACCAAAACTCCACGCCTTGGTTCGACGGCACGACGGGGATAACACAATGTCCCATCCCACCCAACGCGTCGCTAACGTACGACTTCACCGTTGGCCGTCCCGGGACGTTTTGGTATCATGCGCATACGAGTAGTTTGTATATTGATGGATTGGTGGGGCCGTTGGTTGTGCATGATGGGGTTGAGGGAGAGGCGAGGGGGGAGGGGACGGAGTACGATTATGAGCAGGTCGTGCTTTTGTCGGATTGGTATCATAGGTGGAGTACGGATCTCGTTGCGAGTTACTTGGTGCCGGATAACGAGAATGTCGAACCGATCCCCGACGCCGGACTCATCAACGGCAAAGGCCTCTTCAACTGCTCCTCGGATGTCTTCCTCTCCGCCCTCGACTCCGGCTCCGTCTCAGCCTGCATCTCCACCTCCCAACGCATGGGCTACCCCCTCCTCACCCTCAACGAAGGCCGTACCCGTCTCCGTCTCATCAACGTCGGCGCCTTTGCCGATTTCTGGGTCGGGATGGATAATCACCCACTTACTGTCATCGAAGCGGACGGAACGGATGTTGAGCCTCTCATTGTTGACCGAGTTCCTATTGCGGTGGGGGAGAGGTATAGTGTTGTTGTTGATACGACGGGGGAGGCGGCGGGGTTTTGGTTTAGGGCGGAGATGAATGTGAATTGTTTTGGGGATGTGAATGAGGTGCTTGATCCGAATATTTTGGCTGCAGTTCGAGTTCTTCCGGCTTCGGCGTCGAGTATGGAAAGCACGGTGGGATCTACTCCGGTTAATTGGATCGCGGAGACGACTACCGGTTTACCGACGACGGATGCGTGGGCGGGGACCTGGACGGGTCCGACATGTCGGGATCTGGATCTGAGTCAGCTCGTGCCCGCGGTGGTGGAGCAAGCTCCTGTTGCGAGTCGGTTGTTGACGATTGATGTCTCTTTCCAGATCGGTGCGAATGCTGTTGATTTGGGGTATATGAACTCGACGGCGTGGGTACCGACGGCATACACCCCCACACTCTCCGCATTCGCCGGGAACGGAACGAATCAAACGAGTGTTGACGCAGATGAGGAGGGGTGGATTGTTGGGATGGATGAGGTGGGTTGGAATGCCAATAAACAAGGTCAATGGGTCATCCCCATCTCCGACGGACCCCCAGATGAGGGGCGGGAAATCGAAGTCATCGATCTCGTCATCAACAACCTCGACGACGGCTCCCACCCCTTCCACCTCCACGGCCACCAATTCTACATCCTCGCTCAAGGCCCTGGGGCACTCCAGCAAGATCCCACGTACTATACCTCTCTAACTGCAAACCACACTCTCCTCTCTAATCCGATGCGGAGGGATACAGTTACGGTTGAGAGTTATGGGCATGCGCTGATTAGGTGGGTTGCGGATAATCCGGGGGTGTGGGCGTTTCATTGTCATATTGCATGGCATGTTGCGGCCGGGTTGATGGTGCAGTTTGTGGAGAGGGGGGGGTTGTTGGGGGAGTGGGATGTTCCGGACGAAGTGGCACAGTTGTGTGACGCTGGGGGGTGGAGGCCGGAGGTTGAGATTGGAGGGTGAGTGTGGGAAGAGGGGGAGGACACAATGGTATAGGAGCTGTGTGGTGAAGTGTACGATACCCAACGACGCTCTCCTTAAATACATGTAGATTGCGCTGAGGTTGGAAGTTCGCACGCTCCTTGCACGTCACCTTGCATCCCACCACGCAATACGCCTAACCTCCAAAACACCAGCATCCAGTCATACCTGAATACCGCGTAGTCCTTCAATGCTCAACGGCCTGACGACTTCTCTCACAGCTGCTGTTGCATACACCGCAAACTTATCTTTACGGCGGCAAACATAAACGATGAATACCCTCGGCGCGGATTCCGATTACCACCCTTTGCCAGCCTGCCAGCTCCTCCCCGGCGTGATGCGTCTTTCACCAGAGGACCATGATGGACCGATTGAGTACAAAGTGCAGTTACTGGGTATCGGCCCGGAGAGGTTGGATCAGTTATGTACACAGATGCATTTCCGGCTCGGAGAAGGTGGGGGCGCGGCATTGTATGAGATCGGCGTCGGTGACGACGGAAAGTTGATTGGACTCTTGGAAGATGATATGCGGGAGAGTTTGGAGACATTGTCACGGATGGCGAACAAGCTTGAGGTTGGATTACAGGTCGTGGGATCAATCCACGTTCCAAGCTCAGACCACGACGAAGACCAAGATCCGCGTATATGCGCCGAAGTCCTCATCCAACGACGACTCGAAGACCGCGCGTTCGACGAGATCCGCGTCGTTACTATTGGTGCGCACGAATCCGGGAAGACTACGCTGCTCGGCGTCTTGACCCACGGTATCCCCGACAACGGCCGCGGCCGCGCACGTCTCGCGCTCCTCCGTCACCGACACGAGATCGAAACAGGACATACCTCCTCCATTGCGCACGAGATTGTCGGATATGATGCTGATGGTGAAGCGGTTAATTATGCCACGATACCCTTCTCGTTTTCCTCCAAGCAATCCATCGTTCGCGCGTCTGTCAAGGTGATCGACTTTCTGGATTGTGCTGGACACCCACGGTTCGCGAGACAGACGATTCGCGGGATATTGGGCTATGCGGCACACTACGCACTGTGCACTGTCGCTGCCTCAAGCGGCGAGGTCGGCGAAGTAGCGAAGGAATACATCGGGATGTGCTTTGCCCTCGGCGTCCCTTCGTTCGTGTGTCTCACCAAAGTGGATTTAGCTACCAAGGAACGGTTACGGACTACGATGACGAAGTTGTATGCGTTTTTGGGGATGCAAGGGCGGGTACCTGTTCTTGTACAGAGTGAGGGGGATGTGGAGACGTTTGTGCGGGAGATGGAGGTGGGAGAGGGTGTCGTGCCGGTGTTTTTGACTTCGTGTGCAGCGAATTTGACGTCGATTCCGTTGTTGCATACGTTTCTTAACGCACTCCCGGTTCCACCATCCGTCCTCGACTCCGACACCAATACCGAAATGGGAGCGAGGTTCCACGTCAACGAAGTCTACCAACACCCAACCGCAGGCCTCATCATCGGCGGCGTCCTCCGCCGCGGCACCCGTCTACCCTCATCACAATCCTCCTCGGCTATATACCTCCTCGGTCCAGATAGCGCAGGAGACTTCGTGCGGGTCGGGATCAAGACGATTCATCGACAACGGATACCGACGCCGTATCTCTCTCGAGGCCAAGCTGGGACAATTGCGATAAGTATCGAGGAAGGGGGGTTTAAGGTGAGGAAGGGGATGGTGTTGATTGAGGTTCCGGAAGGGGGAGAGGAGGAGGTGGTGAAGGCATCTGGAAAGATCGAGGTGGAGGTTGATGCGGGTGTGAATTTGGGTGTTGAGCAGGCGATGGTATACTTTGCTTCTGCGCGGGCGAGTATCAAAGGTGGCGCCGCATCTTCGCATGAGACACATGACGGGGGTCTGAGGACGGTTAGGTATGAGTTCACGAGTGGGCCGGAGTATGTCGAGGTTGGTGAGAGCGCGGTCGTGACGAGGAGTGATGGTGAGATGGCGTTTGTGGGGAGGGTTGTTGGGTGTGTAGAGTGGGAGGGAGGAGGTGGGAAGAGGGGGAGTTGGGGGAGTGCTAAGGTTTGAGCAGCCGAGAATGTCAAAAACGGGATGGAAACGGGGCGCTGAGATGTGCGACTGGGTCCACCTGGTTATATACCGGTAGTGTGCTGCGCGCTCACTGGAGGCGTGGGATCGTACTCACGACATGCTCATTGAGTTTATGACAGTCCAAAATAGCCTTCACGCGTACTGATTCACAGCCAATGATTGCTCTGAGAACTCGCTGCACCAGTTCTGTGCACATGTCGCTTTACCTCGGCCCGGCTGCTGCGGTCGTGCCATGCGATAAAGTGCGGGGCCGTACCGCAGTTGTCGCGGGAAATGTTGAGCAACACAGCAATAGGATAGTCGGCAGGACTCATCAGAATCACAATTCGCATCACACACTTTGCCATAGCAACAAAGGATGAAACTACAAGACTTTGTAAGTGCTGATATCGACACCGTCGAGTTGTTATGCAAACAGGGCCACTACGATTGGATCATCATAGGCAGTGGTATAGGCGGCGGTATCCTTGCCCAGGAACTCGTGAAACTACAGCTCAAGGAGTCGAAACCCCAAACACGCAAGAACATACTTGTTCTCGAAAAAGGTGCACTGGACTTTTCCACGCATTGTCTGAACACCTCCAGTAGGAAATGGCATCGTGGAAGTAGGCTAGGGCCTTCGCAAAACAACCATATTGCGTACAAGGCTTTCAAGACTAACCACGGTACCACGGCTTAGGACCCTTACATCGGGGGGCCGGTGCATTGACTGGGGCTTGTATTGCCCTCAGATTGACGAGAAAACATTGACGGAATATTTCCCGAAGTCTATCACAGAATATCGTACAGGCACGGAGCCGGAGAATTGTGGTTATGACAAAGCTCTGAAGCTTTTGACCAAAAATTCTCAGGATACGAATACGGTCTATCCGTTCAATTTTGATAACCACATCTCAAGCTCCGATGTTCAATATCCCGCTCCTGTGAAGTTTCGTTTGAACCAAGCAGAAGCGGGAAACATTGCTCAGCAGGTAAGAGCCAGACTCGCGTGGGACATATCACGATCAATAAAGGTTGATCTCGAACCTACAGTTCCACATGGGTTATGTGGCGGCTGATTTCAACTCTCTGTCCCGGCTTTATCAAATACCGCACGGTGCGTACAGTACCGTGGATGGTTTGATACAACCGCGCCTCGATGGTGTCGAAGGAATATCATGTTCATTGGTGCCGACGGTGATGAAATGGATGAGAGCACGTTTCTTGGGATACACAGGCCTGAAGACTGTGACACGTTGAATATGACGTTCGAATTCATGGCTGAACTCGAAGACACTAATCGCGTTCTCAATGATGCATCCTCCCCTCCAACGCTCAAAATCAACCGCCGGTGGATAGAGTTCAGGGATCCTCAGAGCGGAAAGGTTGTCGATGGAGCTGCCGCTATGCAGAAAGTCTGCAAGAACATATATAACGAGCTCTTCGGTAGGGCACCAGATGATGAGAAGCCAGAGGAAGCAGATGTTCGGAAACCAGTGGCAGCAGATATGGGCGTTGTAGCTCACGAAGTGGGTACGATGAGAATGGACGCTCCAGATCCGGCTGAGCATCCGGGTGTCGTCGACGACAACCTCCAATTCAGGGGGTTCGACAACCTTTATGTCTGTGATTTGTCGGTGTTTCCCGTCAGTCCTCCTGCGAATCCCACGTTGACACTTGCTGCTTTGGCGATGCGTCTTGCGAACCGTCTTCATACCCTATCTCAAGCTTACGCATGAAGTGCTTCGGAATCCAGATGGTATCGTTTTACCGAAACATATAACCATTCCCTTCTCGCCTTTGTGGGGAGGGCTAGCGCCGTCGGGTGTGAGGGGTGGGGGGGGGGTGATGCTCGTGGGAAGATGATGAGTTGATACTGAGGTCCAGCTGATAGTATATCTACCGAATGTATCACCCTATCAAAAAGACACCGCTGTCGATCACATTGACCAAGATTCTTCAAGTCATGCCTCTTGCCTCATCTATGCCCTACGCCGACACCCCACACTTCCTCCTCGCATCCCCAACAAACAACCCCTTACTCTTGATTACCCACGTAAACCACGCCCCGACACATACCCGTCCCAAGAAGGGAATCGGTGGTAAGACGCCTGCTCCGCCTTTGCTGCCTATGGTTACGATACAGGCTTCGCCTGGTGGTCGATACCCCTTCAACTTCTTCGAGGAGAGGTGCGCGAGGATGTTGTGTGCCACGATTGCGGCGTGGCCGTATGCTTTGTATGCTTGTTTGACCTCTGGTACTGCAGCGAGATCGCCCACCACATATACGGAATCCATCCATGCCTCTCTCTCGCCATCTCCCGACACGTCGAGTTGGAATGTGGGGCGGACGAGGACGGAGCCGGAGGGGGTGAGGGAGGAGGGGGAGAGGGTGTGGAGGAGGGCGGAGTTGGGGGTGGGTCCGGTACAGGTGAAGATTAGGTCTGTGGGGATTTCGAGGCCATTTGTGGTCGTCACACTCGCACTTCCGGGGGTGGTAGTCTCGATCCGGTCGTTGGGGATGAACGAGCAACCTAGGGCTTCGAGTTGTCGTAGTAGTTCGCGCCGCATCTTATCGGGGTAGATAGATGACATGGGAAGTGCGGACGGGTGTACGATGGTAACCTCCTTCCCCTCCCCCGCCCACGTCTCCAATATCTCCCCGGCGAGTTCGACACCCACGGACCCGCCTCCCACAATCAATATCCGCTTCGCTCCGGCGATTTGGGACCGGGTCTGGGCGAATTGGGAAAGGGCTTCTGAACGGTCGGGATGCGGATCGATAGGAGATCCCCATTTCGCACCCATTGCTAAGACGAGGATATCCCACCCCACCCTCTCACCCGTTCTCAACACCACCTCCTTCGTGTCTTTATCAACACGCACGACCTCACCCTGTCTTACCTCGCCCCGTCCTCGGTCCAGTGCTTTATCGAGCGGTATGCAGATTTGGGATGGGTATGCGGGGTCGGGGGAGGTCGAGGCGCGGAGGGCGGCGATGGCGTGGAAGTGGTAGGAGCGGGTGTCGAGGAGGAGGAGGTGGTGCGCGGGGGGGAGGGTTGTTGAGAGGGTTGTTGCGAGGGTGAGGCCAGCGGCACCGGCGCCGATGATGAGGACGGTCTTCATGGTGTTCTTCGTACGTCGTGTATAAGGTTATCTGATCCCTCGAACAAGCGAGCGTCGATACGTCAGCCACGCCGTGAGCCACTCCCACCCCATCGCTAGCACGCGGTAAAAAACAAACCGACACGAGCAACGGGTCCACTCCCCATAAGCTGTCCACTGTCCGCTGTTCTGGAACCCTAAGTGATGCGATGTGTATCGGTCACCATGCAGACCATTCAATAACGCAACCCATCGACTTCGATTTCTCCTTCCCCACAGACGACATCCTGATCGCCCTCGACTCCTCCCTCCGAATAATCGCAGCAAACGACAACGCCCTCTCCGCCTTCCGCGCCCCCACCCGCCGCAACCTCCTCAACCTCCGCATCTGCGACCTCCTCAGCGACGGCGAATCCTTCGCCGCCCAACTCTCCGAACTCGCTCGGCGCCGTGGCACGATTCGGATCGAGACGGATATGATCAGGGGTGGTGATCCGAATGTTTCGATTAGTTGGCGCGTGAGGGTTCATGGCGGCGATGGCTATCGGGTCGTTGGGAGAAGAAAGTTGGCGGAGAGAGAGGAGTGGGCGAATCGGATGGGTGATATGGCCATGGCGCACGCGTGGTTGAGGGATAATGTGAATGATGTATTGCGGAGGTGGGATATCATCAACAGCACTGTCACATGGGATGCGAAAATGCAGTTTTTGACGGGTTACGAGTTTGCGGGGGAGGGAGAAACGACACCGGAGTGGTGGAGGGATCGGATTCATACAGACGACGTCGACCGTGTCTGGGAAAGCGTTCAACGATTCATGAAAGGCCACGGCGTATTCTGGTGCGAAGAGTACCGTTTCCGCTGCGCAGATAACACCACATTCATCACCCTCGTCGACCAACTCCACCTCATCCGCTCCCCAACCGGCGAAGCCCTTACCGCTACCGGCGCCCTCTTCAACCCCGTCCAACGCCGTCAAGTCGCCGAAATACTGGAAACCCCACGCACGATATTGATGCGCGACATCCCCCACGGACACATCAAATCGGACGATTTGAGGCATCAGACCATGTTGATCAAGACGATCACGGACAATTCTCCGTCGGGTCTGATATTGAAGGATGCGAAGGGGTACCCGACCTATATCAACCCAGCCGCATCCCGGATAACCGGATACGCGTTCGAGGATATCAAGGATAAACCCCTCCACTACTCAATCCACTACAAACACCCCGACGGCCGCGCATACCCAATGGAAGACTGTCCCGTCGACGGCTCCCAAGTCCGTCTCCTCCCCCAAAAAGGCTCTACCCTATTCGTCCGACACGATGGCTCTTTCTTCCCCTCGGTATGGTCAAATTCCCCGCTCGAAGGTAGGGATGGTAGGAGTATTGGAGCGGTGTTGGAGTTTCGGGACGTTACGGAGGAGAGGGCGATGGAAAAAGAACGATTACAGGCGATGGTTGATGCGGAGCAGGGGTTGATTCGGGCACGGGAGGCGGAGTGGCATAAGATGAAGTTGGGGGAGTTTATCGATTATGTGTGTCATGAGATTAGGAATCCGTTGCATGGGATTGCTGCGAATACGGGTTTTTTGGCGGAGCACCTCGAGACGCTGACGATCAAAGCGAAAGCGGAAGCGAAAGCGAAACAGACGCAAGAGGAGGGCGAGGGATGGGGTGAGTGGTTGGAGAGGTTGGTGAAAGAGTGTACGGGCTTTTTGACGAGTATTAGGGAGTGTGTGAATCACCAGGCGCTTATTACCAATAATGTCCTTGATCTTTCGAGACTCGATGCCGGGAAGGTGGAGCTCGATAGTGAGGTATTTGAGGTTGAGAGCGTGGTGGGGCAGTCTGTCGACATGCTACGGGCAAACATCATCGAGAAGAAACTGGACGTGAGGATTGAGGGCGGCTCTGGATTCGGATCCGGACCTGGACAAGGGGCGGGCGTTGGGTTGGTCAAGGGCGATTCGACGAGGTTGAGACAGGTGTTTATCAATCTGTTGAGTAACGCGATCAAGTTTACGCCGAGGGGGAAGAGGATCGTGGCGAGGTATGCCGTGGATGAGGAAGCGAGTCGGAGTGCGAATCTCGAGGCGAAGATGGGTGGGGTGGGGATCATGGATGGGCAACACCAGCATGTTCATCCGAATGAGGAGGCGAAGGCGAACTGTAAAGGGAATGAGGGGGTGGAGATTTTGGTGTTGAGGGCGAGCGTGGAGGATACGGGATTGGGTATGACGGATGATGAGCAAAAGTGGTTGTTTAAGCGTTTTTCGCAAACGAGTAAGAAGATCTCGGCGACGTATGGTGGAAGTGGACTCGGTCTCAACATCTGCTACGAACTCGTCAAACTCCTCGGCGGGGAGATCACCGTTCGCTCTTCCAAAGATGTCGGTACCTCGTTCGAGTTTACGGTGAGGCTTACGCGGCCGAGTGCGTGTGAGGTTCAGGATTATGGAAGATTGCATGTTCCGATGGCGACGTTGCATGAGAAGAGTTTGGGGAGGTTTGGGCGTGTGTTGATTGCGGAGGATAACGCCATTAATCAGAAGATTATGGCAAAGTATATGACGCAGCTCGAACTTGAGTACACGATCGTCGATAATGGGCTGAAGGCTGTGGAGGCGTACACTACCCTCGACGCCAACGTCAAGCCGTTTGATTTCGTGATCATGGATATGGAAATGCCGGTTCTGGATGGACGGCAGGCGACTGTGGCGATTAGGGAATGGGAGAAGAAGAACGCACGGAAACGCGTTCCGATTGTTGCGTTGAGTGGGAATGCGAGGAAGGAACAGGTTGAGCATGCGTTTGGGTGTGGGGTGGATGATTACCTCACGAAACCGTGCAAACTCGATGGATTGCGGAGTATGGTACAAAAGTGGCAAGGTGTTGAGGGTGCTGTGAACCAGTCATCGTGAATCGCGCTTTCGATGGTCCTTGAAATCCCCATAACAGCTTGCAATAACGAACGAAAGGACGAAAAAGGACATTTTATGCATTTATTTGTTTGGGATGGGAGGAATGGCGTTATTTTGGCATGTTCTGAACTTTGTGGTTTTGTACGCCGAGAGGAGACGAAATGAGCAATGCGGTGGGTGGGGTTGTACGTTTTCAACGGTTCTGCGGGAGTTTGTGCAAATCGAAGAGGTACTACGCGGTACCCATAGCAGTATAGAACGATCTAGATTTGCACTTTTATAGCAGAGCCGGCCGAGCCCTGGCCCGACGAGCGCAGAGTGCCGACTGAGCTCAGCTTCAGCATAGGAATGCAGTGCAGCTGTGAAAGAGAGAGTAGGGTTATCTTGACAAGAATAACGAACATGAATACGTTTCCCATATTCCTTCAGAGGACGCCTAGTCGATCCGAGTTGTAAAGTGAAGTACCACCATCCAGTCTATTTGAACAGGCTCTCTATTATATTCTGTCTAACTTGCCAATCACATCGTCGTGGTGTATCTGCTTATTTTTGTCTTTTTGAGAGGTACGCGCTCGACAAGCTGCCAAAAGCACCTGCATCCCGCTTGATCATAGAAAACCGTGATTCTGACAGCTATTTCATTAGCGAGGGATAGCATCACTCGAAAAGGCTGCGACTGTCCATGCAACAACGTGAAATTCTGTTTTTGTTTACCCACTTAACTTCTGGCGTGCGGTCATACGGCATACACGCGCGGACACGGCGGAGAGGTACCCGCCGCCCAACCCGCGGTGCAGGCACGTACCTCTGACGGCTTTCCTTAAGCAAGGCAGGTTTGACACTGACAACCTACACAGTGAACGGAGTCTTAAGCCTAGGTATAGCATCCAGCATGAGAGTGACTTTTCCAATTGCACTCGAATCCGTAAACATCCCCACTCTCCCCCCCCCCCCCCCCACCTAAACCCTATGCTTCTCCTGCTCCAACCTCGAATACAACATATACAACGCCATCTGATTGGCCTCCGGCGTCCCCGTGATGGTAACCAACCTCTCGGCGCTATTATCAGCAGGCTCGTTAATCTTGATATGGGAACCGGACATTTGGCGTATTTCGTTGATTTTTGCGCCGCCTTTGCCGATTATGGCGCCGACCATGTCGTTGGGGATGTAGATGTTTTGGGTGAGGGGTTGGCCGGGGATTGGGATTCCTCCGGTGGCGGTGCCGGCGGTGGAGGCGGGGTTGGGGGTTGCTGAGGAAGGTTGGGTTGGGCCGACGTAGGGGCCAGCTGGGGTGGGAGTTGCGTAGGCTGCGGCAGCTTGTGGGTCGGAGGGAACGGTGGTAGCAGCGGCGGCATACCCGACTCCAGCTCCAGCACCAGCACACCCAACCTGACCCAAACCAACAGCACCAACAGCACCAACAGCTTGCATCCCATACGGCACGCTCCCCACAACCATCCCCTCCATAATCGCTTTCTTCCCAATCCTCCCCGGATGCGCATAAACCCCAACCACCGGCACAGGATTATAACCCACAACGCCCGCCAAAAGCCCCTCCCCGCCTCCGGGACTCTTCTCCAACTTTTCCCTCATCTTGACACAAACATGCCACAACGCAATATGCACCGCATCCGCGACGCCGACGACCACGAGCGCGCGTTCCGTGGAGAGTGGGAGGAGACCTTCGGATGCGTTGAGGCGCGCGTTGGAGAGGGATTGGATTTGGCGGATTGTGGTGCCGGAGGGGCCGATGAGGTGGCCGAGGAGGGAGTGGGGAATTAGGAGGCGGAGGGCGTAGGTTTTTGAGGTTGAGGTGCTTGGTTCTTGGGGTTCTCCGGTCAAGATGCGGATGATTAGGCCGAACGTCTATTCCATGGATGAGGATGATGTGGGAGGGGTGGAGGGGGGACAGACCTTTGCGACGGTCTCGGGCGTTCCGGAGACGGTTACGATGCGCTCAACACTACCCCTCAAATTCTCGCTCAACGAGACGCGCGCGCCGCCCTGTTCGCGGAGTGAGGAGACGTTTTCGCCGCCTTTTCCGATAATTGTCGCGGCTTCTTTTTTGGTTACGAGGGCGCGGATGTCGATGAAGTTGGACTCGTCGATAGTGGGGCGTTTTGAGGTTGGAGAGGAGGTTGTATCGGAGTCGGGGTGGGGACGTTTGGTGGAGGCGGTGTCGGGGGACATGATTCGGTTCAAGCGACTATTGAGAAGAGGGGAGGTGTGAGAACTGTGTTTTGTGAAGGCGGAAGAGAGAGAACGAAAGCGAGGATGAGGGGGGAAGAAAGTGAGTTGTGCATACCGATTGGTAATGGAGGGGGGGGGGGGAGGGGGGATGAGTGGAGAATGATAGGGAGGGGGAGTTGAGAATAGTCTAGGGTGGGTCGTGGGTGGTGCCTGGGTTGTGCCTGCGGGGAACGTTGATCGTGGGAATCCATCCCGGTCCGACCGCGAGCGGAACACTCCCGCACCGCACGCAGACCGCCCTCCGGTTATCGATCCCTATCTGATCAGTGATCACGCAAGAAGTTGCCCTCATGTTACCCGTCTCCAACGAACGTCGACTCATCTCTGAACGTTCGCACTCCTCTCCCCTCGCTGCTCACCCACGCTCCTCGATCCCAGCTGCGGCTTCGAGGTCGAGTATGAGTTCTCCACGACCCTCGATCCTGCCTCAACACCGTTCATCATCCTACCCCCGCATCCCTTACGACCCACGCAAAAAACAAGGCACAAACCCTCTCGACCTCATCGGCAAAATCGTAATCCACACGCACACATACCCCCCCTCTCACCCCTCGGGCCCCTGTCGAATTTTTCTTTTTTCAGATGGTTCGATATATTTACTCCGTCCCAAACCGCATAGCACGGATAGTACACCCGAAGAAGAGGGCGTGTTGAGGACGACGAATTATTTGGCGGAGGATAGGGAGGTGTGGTATCTGTTTGAGACGGTGTGTGAGGATGTGGAGAGGAGGAAGGAGGTTAGGTGGGTTGTTACCGAGGCGGAGTTTGTTGCGAGGAGTGCGATGCCTGGGGATCCAGTCACTTCCTCCCTGTCCTCGGTCGACGACCACAAGGAACATGTAGCGCTTTGGATGCAGTTGACGGCCTACCCAGCCTCCACGGCACGAACGGGAGGCCACTCCCACCCCGCCGCACGAGGCGGCGGCGCGATCTACGCATGGGCTTCTATCGTCCGATTGTGCGATGATGCGAGTGGGAATGAAGAAGAAGTACAATTCTATGATGATGTTTGTTTGATGGAGGTGTTGCCGGAGGAGTATGCGTTTCTGAGGGCGTCTGTTAAGGGGACGAGGAGTCCGCCGCGGAGTCCGCCGGAGAGTTGGTTGAGGATGGTTGGAATCGGCAGTGGGAGTGGGAGTGTGGTGGATTTGAGACAGATGAGTCCGTTGAGTGCGGTTAGGGAGAGGATTGAGCAACAAGCACGGCAACGACGGTCACCCTCCCTCTCTCCTCCGACATTGCCACTGTCTCCCTCGATGGAGGCTGGAACTCAAGCCGGACGCTTCGCCCTCCATCAATCGTCCTACACGCGCCCAACCCTCGGCCCCCGGGACCCGAGGATCATGGTCCAACGCTCTACACCGACCGTCAGCGAGGTCGGAACGGCGATGAGTGAGATGGAAATGGATGTCTCGGATGAAGCGATTGAGAGTAGGATACGCGAGTTACGGGAGGTGCAGGCGCAGTATGAGGCTTTGAAGCTGAGGATGAAGGAAGAAGAGGGTTTGGTGGCGTCAGAGCTGCTCGGGGAAAGTTCCCCGTCCCCTTCGCCGGCACCGGGTGTCATTCCACAACCAGAGATGTCGTTCGCGAAGCATACGGCGCTTTTGGCTGCGAGAACTCCGAGTCCGCGAACCCTACCGCCCTCACTTACACCCTCGCCTGGCCCTCCCCCGAGCGAAGGCCTCTCCGTGTTCCTTACCTCGAGCCAGAGTCACAGCCCCGGGAGCCCTAGTCCGGGCACGACAGTCCATAACCCTTCTCCGCAACCTACGTTGAGGGAGGAGGGACAAGACGCGGATTTTCTGATGTCCGTGAGGGAAAGTCGGTCGCCTGGTCCCGGTAGTGTCGTGTCTGGTGATGATCAGTCCCATCTGGGCTACGTATCGACGGGGCTGGTATCCCCCGTCGAGGGCCCTTCCCCAACGACAACGTCGAATTATGATTCGGTGTTGCGGTATGCGTCTTCTACTGAAGCCGGAGAGGAGTATTTCCCTCCGCAGTTCACGGGGATGAATGTGCCCGGCGAGGAGGACAGAGGAGGAGGTGGCCATGGTCTTCGGCAGGGTGGAGGAGGGTATTCGGCGAGTCATGCGTTCCCGTCTGGGATGTCTCCGCTTCAACTCCAGACTTATGATCAGCAATATGGACGAGATCCGTCGCTGTCACCGCGCTCGCCTGAGATCTTTGCGTCCCCGGAGATGTTGTCGCCGCTTTCCGGGACGTATAGTAAATCTTCGCAGAGTTACCCGATTACGCCATCGACGGCGACAGCGATGCAGTTCAGTCTTCCCAATTCGATGTCGCCTGGGAACTCCCCGTCTTTCTCTTCGCCTCTGTATTACTCGCCAACATCGGAGGAGTTTTACAAGCAAGGTGTGGAGCATCCGGGACGCGGTTCGTTTGGGTACCAAGTCACCAATCCGGATCTGTGCACTCCAGAGCCTGATGAGCCTTCACCCGAGAGCTCACCGCCGTCGATGTCGGCAGTCAACACGCGTACGAGCTCGAGCTCACCGTTCTCCACTGAACTGCTGCCGCGAGGCGTGCCCCGTTGCCTTCCTCCCCTCGAGCCGAAGCACACCATTCCACCCGTCCCTGTTCCGCTCGCCGATAGGCGTATCGATTTTGCCAGGGAGTATAACATGGGTATCGATCCTCGCACTTTGGTTGGGCGTATATTGACTCGAATCACCCTCCGCAAGATCGATACCAAAGATCGTCATCCGACGCGAACTCTACAATTTAGCGAAGGCAAAGATGTGGAGATCAGGATCAGGGATTACCACACCCTTCAGATCGACGTACCGGAGATCCGGATCGACGGGGACTTGGCGACCGAGTTGAACAATTATGGCGTAACGCACAGCTTCAAGGTCCAGGACTGCGCATACGTCCTTCGCACGGGTATGGTCTACAGTAAGGAGCGAAAGACAATGATACCGATTGAATACATCGCGTTACTCATACAGTTTCATGGGCGTGCGATGCCAGTGTATATCTACGCTTTGTATTCCGAGTGGGAAGAGAAAATGTCAGGTGTTGTCCCGAGCTTTTATCGGGAGTTCGCGCTGACGCCTGCCGTGATTGAGAAGAAGGGGAGGCGGTGGAGTGGATTTGGAAGGAAAAAGTCAGATCAGGGCAAGTGATAATGGATGTCGTTACATAAATACTGTCCTGTATCCATTAGCAAAAGCTGTGAGAGGGAGGTCGCCGAGCTTGAGAGGTATGTATGTACGATAATCCAATATGACGCCTCAATCTCACGCGTCCGAAACGGGTACCGCCCCCCCAGCTGTGACAATCCCATGGTGCGGTGCGATTGATGCGTCAATGCCGTAATGTCAAATGTTGTGCGCTGTTGCGCTGTGGGCGCCCTATTTCGTAATAGGCTTAGCCCAGGCATCATACATATATTTAAGGGTGTATGAGGTTCACCCTCTTAGTTGCTCTTTACCAATACTACTGTACTGGCTCATACCTGTTCTAGCCTACTCACCCTCGGCTTTGGCGGTCTTGGTGAGACATAGTCTGGCCTAACTTGTGGGCAAGTTGCTGTTGCTGTTGCTGTTGCTGTTGCTGTTGCTTAGGGTTAGGGTTAGGGTTAGGGTTAGGGTTAGGGTTAGGGTTAGGGTTAGGGTTAGGGTTAGGGTTAGGGTTAGGGTTAGGGTTAGGGTTAGGGTTAGGGTTAGGGTTAGGGTTAGGGTTAGGGTTAGGGTTAGGG